TGTAATGTCCGTAATGTTATACATAGGGCCTTCTATGCGCGATGCAAGTAAAACGTACGGCTGGTGGTCGCGTCACGACTAATGAATAATTGTTGCTATCCCYACCACTGTATGATGGTAAGAACATTTTAATCGGGTGTTGTTTTTTGGCGTCTATACGTCTAGTACGTACGTCCAGTAGGTATTCTTATCTATCTCGCGACGTTAAATTAGTTGGCACTATATAAAATATCTGTGGACACTGTTAGTCTATGCATGACATTAAAAACGTGACATAACATGGTCATCGGTGATAAATCATATTATGTGATAATTATGTATTATACCTACATTATGGCATTACATATTACATCCATGACTACCATATTCACTTGTACCTAACCTATGTATAACATTACGGACATTACAGCCATTATTATTCATTAACATTTTCATTTCATAAATTTGTATATTTCCGCAGTTACTCTGTATCTACACTCAAACCAAAAGATACTTTACGAAAGGTATGTATCCGTATTATATAATTTAATTTTAATATTATACATTTTTAATATTTCAATATTCGAATGAATAAGATCCAATGACGACTAAAATACACGTAATAGTGTACCTAAGTCTCAAACCTCAGTCTGTGATTGCCGATTGGTACCCTCTAGTTTATAGGTAGTCTATCTACCTATTACTAAGCATGGATTGATGGCTGTACTTACTATTATAATATTAATAGTACAATTACCATTGTCCATTGTTATTTGTATCTGGCTCACTCAATCATCTATAGAATACACAATTGATTAATGATTATAAAGAATTAATATAAGTCATTAACGGAATTAACTATTAAAATTAGAGTAGGTATCCTTTATTAAATTAACTACTATAAAGGAGGAACTTTATTTTAAATTTTCAATCCTTAACTATACAATTTAAAAGTTTTATACATTAGGTTAACAACTAAATAATTTGTAAATTTTCAATTAAATGTTGTCAAAATTTGAACTTTAAATGGTTATAAAAAAAAAGTGTCTATATGTATTTAAAATATTTTCCAACTGCTATTATATAAACTTATGGGAAACCTTATATTAAATTCTCAAGTTTTTTAACCCGATAAATAAGATTTTATCGACATTTATAGAATAAAAAAACTAAAAAAAAAAAAAACAGAAAATTTAAAATGTCTATAAATAACTTGGAAGTTGTTGAAATATTTTGAAAATTGTAAAATTGATAAAATAAACAATATGGGTACATTTCAAGTTTCTATAGTTATTGAAGTTTTTCGTTTTTGAATAACAACAAAATAAGAATATCGATACAAGAGAAACTGAGTGAATATCCTGCAATGTTGTTATTCAAATGCTCATAAAAATGTAAACTGACTTTCCGGTAGACATTTTCATTTGATAWAAGTAAACAAACTTTCGAAGAATTTTGTATTGAATTTTCAAATCTTAGATTTAAAAAGATAAATTCGTACGAATTTCTAACTCCAAAAAACTACCGGGAATTTCAAAATTTGACCTCCCCAATAATGCAACAACTATAGATTCAATTTTCAACTGAAAAATCTACTGAAATTGAAAATCTAAGTATTATTTCAACAATTTATCGTGTACACAGTACACACACACACACACAAAAGCACTCGCATAATAATTGTATAATCAATACATATTCATCGCTCTGCTCAGAACCTAAATAATTTATTTTACGTCAGATTATGAAATTCTAAGAATATTATGGATCACTGATAAAAATACGATTTGAATATTGTGATTCAACCACAACCACTTATTCACATAACAATGATTATCAGTTAAATAATATTTTAAAACTAAATGGTAGAATTTTAAATTTTCAAAAAAAAACATTTTAAAATACGATACATTAAACATTTGAAAAAGCGTGCTTATATATAATAGTTATATATCATCAAAATCGACGAAAAAAAAGTATTCATATTATCCAATACAAGGAAAAAGCTTTACCTATTTTATAGTTTATACTTATACACGTGTATATGTATATATACAATATGGCCGAATGTCTCTAACAACAGATACACAATATTGTGGTCGACTGCTTGTATATGCGATTAAGTTGAGCTGAAATTGCGTATCGGTCTCAAAACTGTTTTCCCATTGATATATTTTCATTGCAAACCAAAATAYGATTCTGAACGAAGACGGTGTGCGGTGTGCATCTAAGTCTCTATTTCTAAGTAGATTTTATAGTTTATCTATAGGTACTACTATCAGTAAATTATTTTTCTTTACGTAATACGGAGGTTGAACTTACTTTCGTAAAAAACATCGCAAATGGTACACCTTAGGTAGGTAATAATTTTTTATTACAATACCTACCACATTATATCTAATAATTATAAAATCTGCTGYATTAAGATTTTAACTAGAATACTAGAATACGTACTATAGGATGGTGTTAACACTGAATATATTCGTGATATAAATATATAATATATAAACCTAAAATTAATCTAAATATGTTTAAAAATTTAATTTCACCAATACAGAAAAATTATAATATAATACGTAGGTGGTAGGTGATGGCAAACATTTCAAGTTTGCTACGCATAATTTTGCTATGTATCTACAACGTAAATCTCTATTTAATTTTTGATGAATACAGCGACGCAAAAAATTTGTAGTTATATATTTCAAGTTAGCAGTCTAGAAAAATCAGGGCGATTGACGAAAACCGAATAAAACCACGGMTCACGTTATATAAATTTATTATAATATGGCATACTGGCTAGCTTCTTAAAAAAATGTCTTATATTATAATAATAGACAGATAATAGATATTATTTATTTATTCCTTTTCTTGATTTTCATATGATTTTTCATTATATTGAACGGATCGCAATTCTCTAATCGTTGGCCACCTCTGCAGGTTAAACTATAACTTCAGTAAAACCATTGATTATAGAATAGATTCTATAATCAATGGTAAAACTATAKGCAAGCTTGGGCATACACGAGTTAAGAAGTTGAAGTTAAGTTAATTTTAACTTTTTTAAATTTAATTTTCATCATATCAACTGATTTTTATTGAGAATTTAAAAAATAACGAGTTACTTTTAATTAAATCCGAGTTATGTCAATTCATATGTAATCAAATAATAAACAAAATTAATTATTAATGATGATGCATATTGCATAAACATTTACATTTTATTATTTTAAACCAACTGCTAGCTATTTAGATATTAAAAAAACTTAAGTTAGTTTGATTGAATTGAAAGTTTTCCTATAATTTTAAACTTGACAGAGTTTAAGAAAATCAGGATAACAATTAACTTTAATCTTTTTTATATGTTTTCTGTCAACTTAACTAAACTCAATTACAAATTATCATTAAGTTGCCAAAACTTTACTATAGGTATATATTATACTGTAACTATAACAAACCAAAAACAATGTATAGGTTTCTATTAGTTAGGTTAGGTATCTATTATGAAGTTAAAATATTAATAACAAATTTATTTTATTTTCCTTTAATAAAAGCTATCAAGTTTATACCATGGATGGATTACTCAATGAAGYTCGAGAACTTGAAAAAAGATTTCTTCAATATAAACAAGTATCCACCTATTAATTCTATTTATTTAATTAARTTAAAGTGTATTGAAGGTACTCCGTAATCTTTACTAGTCACATAATTATTTCGATTTTCATATAAAATAACTAAAAAGTGGTATCTATATAATTAGTATTATGTAATTTATATTAAAGAAATTTTATTTTTATAGTTTTGGGATAATTTAATGCAGCAATCAAATTTACTGGATAAAGAAAAGTTTTCGTTGTGTGATCAATTATCTAAATTAAATTTCAAAATAAATGTTTTACAAATAGAAAAATACCAACTTGACGAACAAAAGCGTAAATTAGAAATGGACGTGGAAGAATTATCTGAAAAAAGTAGTTAGTAGAGTATTTTAATTGATAATATTATTGAATATACATACCAAGCCAATACATTATCAATACATTTTTGTAATTTATAAACAATACCAATTAGTAATTTTAATTTTTTGTAATCATATATTATTTTTGATATTCTATTAAACATATTATTTCAGAACAATATGAATTTTTGAAAACTCATCTTGAAGTTCTAAATCAAGTAAATATAAATACATTTTTGTTATAAATTAAAATAAACAGTCAAATTGATAATTTAAAAAAAATATATATAAATTTAGCGCAAAGATCAATTGGAAAAATATTCATTAACTAAAGGATTAGAATTTGAAGGTAACAATATTAACAATGCTTTATAATATTGTAAATTAAAAGTATAAAAATAATATTCTAATGTTGTATGTTTAAGAAAATATGTTAGAAAATAAAATAGATAATGTATGGAAATATTTCAATGATAAGAATTCTAAGTTGGATAAAGAAATTAATGATCTAGAATTGAAATTGGCTAATCGCCACGATATGGTGTCTAAGATGGTGAGGAAAAATATAAATATCAAAACAAAGTATTAAGTAACTATAAAAAAAAATGTATTTAATTCCTATATTATTATAGTTTAAGAAAGAATGTAACCAGTACAAGAAATCTATAGAGAAACTTAATGATGAAAACAGTGTATTAAATAAAAAGTTAAGCTTGATTAGTAAGATCAGTGAAGACTCAAACAAATTATCCATAAGATAACTTAGTGTTTTGTTTAAATAAGTATTAAGTAATAATAATTATATATATATATATATATAATATATAATACATTTAATATTATGCAATTATATAAAAATAAAGATTTTAGATACAACTAGATGTTGTAATTAATTATATTTATTTTTTATTAATCATAACATGTTATAAATTTTAAACTTAAAACAAATTTATAAAAATGTTGAATTGTATTTTATGTTAAATCTTATATAGTATTAAATAAACTAAAAAAATAAATACCTTGTAGTAAAATCATCCAGATGAACCATGTTGATATTAAATAGTTATTATTTTATAACATAAATCTTTATCATGCATGTAAAAATTATATAAGTTAGCCATGAAAAAATTTTTATTGTTAATTTTTTTCTTTTTTTT